ACCGCACTTACTCCTACCTCCCCCCCCTTAAATGGCTAAAGGTCAGTCTACCTTTTAGTGTCATGTCTTACCATCCTTTGTGCATCCTAGGCTCTAATCAACCACACGAGACTTTTTCTGTTCTATAAGGATAGCTTGTCCTTTGAGATATGCTGTTTCTTCTTCTCTCCTGGGAAATCCTTGCTTATAGATCAGAGGGCCTTCTTGAATGTCACCTCCACTAAAGGCCTTTGCTGAACATCCTCTGCCTCTCTTCCTCCTGTCACACATATGTACTTATACAATGCTAATCCCCCACTGTATGAGCCACAACTCTTTTGTGATACACATATAACACGTCAATCTCTCTCACTTTATTGAATTCCCAGAGGACATGAGTCAAGTCTTATTTAACTTTGTATCTGACCCCAGTGTCTCATCTATGGTCAGGCATATAGTAGGTTTAGCCATTTATTCAACAAATATTTATTGAGCGCCAACCGTGTGCCAGGCCACAGACATTCAGTGTTCTAGATAGGAGTGATATGGTAGTGATAAACCATCTACTCTCATGGAGGTGACGTTCTGAGGGTGGAGGGAGATAGCCAATGAACAAGAGAAGTAAGTAAAATCACAAACACACACGTGCGCGCGCACACACACACGCAGTGCTTATTGAATGCTTAGAGGACTGCATCAAAGAATGCCCATCTGAAATAGATACAGAGGCCCGAGTATGATAAAAGAGTGAGTGCCAGGTCCCCAGCCTTGGACGTGAAGGATGCTATGTGGCAGAACTTCTCCTTAGTCATGTTGGTCTGATGATAGAAGAGGTGTACGTTTGCTAATATTTATTATTCTGCTGCGTATGTGCTACTGACTTTAGGGTCTTAGACTTAGGATAACATAGATTGCACTATTATTATTATTTTTTTGTGTGTGAGGAAGATCAGCCCTGAGCTAACATCCATGCTAATCCTCTTCTTTTTGCTGAGGAAGACCGGCTCCAAGCTAACATCTATTGCCAATCCTCCTCCTTTTTTTCCCCAAGGCCCCAGTAGATAGTTGTGTGTCACAGTTGCACATCCTTCTAGTTGCTGTATGTGGGACGCGGCCTCAGCATGGCCAGAGAAACAGTGCGTCAATGCGCACCCGGATCCAAACCTGGGCCACCAATAGCGGAGCACCTGCACTTAACCGCTAAGCCACGGGGCTGGCCCCGCACTATTATTTTTATTGATTGGGTTATGTATACAAGACTACCTAAAAACAAATAAGGGTACGTAGCGATGTACCTTTTGTATGTTATTTTTGCACTTAATAATAAGCAGCTATCTTTTTTTTTTTTGAGCATTTGCAATGTGCCAGACACTGTTCTAAAAACTGTAAATGATTATTTCAGTTAATCCTCAGAACAACCTTAGGAGACAGGCACTATCCCCATTTTACCCTGAAGAAGGTGGCACGAAGGTCAGCTATGTCACTTGGACCAGATTCCCCAGGTAGGAAGTGGAATGTGGGTCAAATCCAGACTGTCCTATCTAGAGACCCTGCATTTCAGCAATGCTGTACACTGCCTGGAGGGAATTTATGAAATCGGAGCAAGTACAAACCTTTTCCTTTGTTAACCAAGCTTACTTCCAAGTTAAGCATGGCTTAGAGAGCAAAAGGTGTCCTTGGCCCATGGTAAAGAGATGTGATCCGGTTGATTTTCCTGCTAGAACACAGCCTCTGAAGCAGAGGTCTACCATCACCTTTCTCTTGGAGTTTGATCTGTCTGTTGGGAACTTAAAGTTTTCAATGCATGTATTAGTAGCTCTTCTACTTATCTTTTTTATTCCAAAATACTAAACACTGATTAAAAAACATTTTTTATGGGGAAAGAAAGAGACAGAAGGCAAATGAACTGCCAACTGGGAAGGCATAGGCAGAAGGGATGGTGCTGCTCTGTGTGTCACAGTCATAGTCACTCTCATTTTTGAGTCATTTCTAGGCCAGGCAGAGCACATATGTCACCTCTGGTTCTTACTACACTTCTCTAAGCAATGACTTGTTCTCTCCATTTTAGGGAAGAGAAGACTTAGATCAGAGTGGCTAAGTAGCTTGCACTGAGTACACCAGGCTGGTGCGGGGAAGAGGGGGAGTTTGAACCCAGCTCTACCTATCAGTGGTTTTAATACAGCTTTTGTTATTTATTTATTTTTTTTGGTGAGGAAGATTGTCCCTGAGCTAACATCTGTTGCCCCTCTTCCTCTTTTTGCTTGAGGAAGATTGTCCCTGAGCTGAAATCCGTGCTAATCTTCCTCTATTTTGTATGTGGGTCTCCGCCACAGCATGGCTTGATGAGTAGTATGTAGGTCCGTGCCCAGGATCCGAACCTGTGAACCCCAGGCTGCTGAAGCAGAGCATGTGAACTTAACCACTACGCCACTGGGCTGGCCCCTACAGCTTTTGTTTTAAACAAATAATACCAAAGACACTTTCTTCAAAGAATTCATACTTGGATCCCAGAAAGAAAGGAGTCATTGTTATAGGGTCAACATGGAGGCCTGGAGGCCAACTGCCTAATTCCACCCCAGTCCGACTCCCACCCAGTGCCCTGTACCCTGTGGCCATCACAGGGAACCCCTGGGAATCTGCAGAGCATTTGTTAATATCACTCTGACTTCTTTGTTCCCATGTTTGTTGACCAGTTGATGAACTCACCTCTCTAAGGATAAATGCAAGATCTAGGTTTTACCTTTTCTGGAGAGATAGAGCACAGCCTCTGGTGTCAGATCCTCCCCTCCCCTCCATGACGGGTCAAGCCCTCCCTTCCCCCTCCATGATGTTGCGCAAGTAACTTATCCTCTTGGCAGCAACTTTGGTTTCTTATCTTTAAAATGAGCATAGTTATTATAATGGTTAAATAAGCATTGTAACAAAACCTCAGCCCAGTGCCTTTCAATAAATGTTAGTTTATTGCTGTTATTAGGAATGCCTCATCCCCACTCCAAATTTCTATGAGGAAAGATTATCGCTAAACCCTCCTGGCCTCTTCATACCCTCAGGGCCTCTTTCCCTACTTGACTGGTTATTTGGGAAGAATAAACTGGGAAGGAACCTTGGGAAGGAACCTGCCTTAGGTCTTACCTCAATAGGTATACTCATCTGAGGGGTTCAGTTAGCTGTTGGCTGGTTCTCACTCTGATCCTTGTTCTCCATAATAACTAATAAAGGGGATATTTTTTGATCTTCTTATTTCTCAATTCATTTAGAACCCGAGGAGGAAAGAGGTATGCGATGTATTCGGCTTCCTTCATATTTTATATTTAGTATTCTCTGCCTTCCTCTCCAATTCTCAGAGTCATCGAATTTTAGAGTTGAAGGAGATTTTTGAAGTGATCGAAATTCATTTCTCCATCTTATATCTGAGCCTGCGTGCCAGGTGGTCATTCAGCCCTTGCCTGCACACTTCCACTAATGACGAGCTTGATCTCTCAAGACATGGCCTGGGGTGACCCTCTGGGGGTGCTCTAGATTGGGCTGGAATTGCCCAAGGAGGATTTGGATCTGGCAGTGTTGGGCTTTCATGTCTGCCTGCACTTGGTATAAAACGTTCAGGTTAGGCTCTCTTTGGGAGAGAGTATTGGCCTGAAGCCTGCTTTCTTTAAGGTAGTTCTTTTAGAAAATTCATTTTCCAATAAGTAGTCAGAATTGGCTGAGGGAGAGAACGAGCGTTCTATGTGTTTTTGGCACCTCGTCCTGAGAAATTTCCTACCACTTTGATGTGCCTGCTGCATTCTGAGCAAATTCCAGTTGTGGCTTGTCTTAAATGATGCAGGAGAGTGATCCTCGGGACACTTGATTAACCTCCTGGCCTTAGTGCTCCAGGGCAGGGATGCTGCGGCGTGACTCTCGGAAGGTCACCTCCTGAAAGCTGCGTGTGATTCGTACTCTGGTGGCAGAAAATAAACCTGCTGGTGAAATTCTACCTTCAGTGCCAAAGAAGCTAAGTGGTAGCTTCAGAACACTCACCTGAAATATACTTGCCAAGTGGAGACAGACTGATTGGAGATCTGCTCATTTATGCTGTTTGTTCTTAACTTCAGGACAACACACAGTAGGAGCCAGCAAATGTTAAGAAGCCAGGTTCCTTAACAACCTTTTTAAAAAATAACATCTTTGTTGAGACATAATTTGCATACTGAAAACTTCACCTTTTTAAAGTGTTTGATTCATTGGTTTTTTTAGTATGTTCACAGATTGTGGAACCATCACCACAGTCGATTTAAGAACATTTTCATCACCCCAAAAGCAAAACCTGCATCTGTTAGCATTTACTCCCCATTCCTCCTTCCCCAGCCCCGGGCCACTGTTAATCTGCTTCCTGTCTCTATGGATTTGCCTATTCTGGACATTTCATATAAATGGAATCATGAAATACGTGGCCTTTGTGTCTGGATTATTTCACTTAGTGTAATGTTTTCAAGGTTCATCCATGTTGTAGTGTGTATCAGTACTTCATTTCTCTTTATGACCTAATAATATTCCATTGAATGGATGTACCACATTTTGCTTATCCATTCATCAGTTGATGGACATTCAGGTTATTTATACTTTTTGTCTATTATGAATAATGTTTTTATGAACATCCATGTACAAGTTTTTGTGTAGACGTATGTTTTCAATTCTCTTGGGTGTATATGTAGGAGTGGTTTGCTAGGTCATATTCCCTCAATAACCTTTTAAAATTGCCTTTTTTGTTTGCTATTCTTGGACCTCCTGTTCCTATTCTTTGGGTTTATATGCACTTCCTCTGTGCTGAGTGCTGTCTGTGACTTGATATAAAGGTAACATAACATAACTGGGACTCAGTTTAAAGTTCTTTGTAGAAATAATTAAAAATTACTCAAGTGAGAATAAATTGAATCATGAGAATACTTATTATATGGAATCTTTGCTAGATTATATTTGCATTTGTTCTCTTCTTTACCAAACTTCTACTTGAAGATTTACAAAGATTTTTTTTTCTTTTCCAGAATCGCAATGAAATAAAAAATGGCACTATCCTTCGATTAACCACATCTCCAGTAAGTTGATCTGAATTTATAGCATTCCAGTAAACTCTTTGATCTCCATTTCTGCTATATGTGATTATTGGATATTAAATTTTGAGGGTGACATTAGTGCAAAATGAAAAGTCTCTGAAATGTCCTCACATGCAGATTCTGGATTAGCAGAACTGCCCCTCCCCTTATATTTTCCATTACAGAGAAGGAAGCCTTTGTTCCAGGTTAAGTGCAAGTAAACTGACTTTAATGTTTGGGTTTGGTGGTCACGTTGACAGTTCTCTTATTACTGATGGGATAGCTCAGCTCTACTGATTGGTTTTACCCACCTTCCCACACCTCCACCTAATGCCATCTGAGCCAATTCAGACAACAAACAAAACGAACAGAACCAAAGACAGCCCATTCCTTTCCTTTAAAGTCAGAGGGGCTATGTGTCTGTGTGTGAAAGCATTTTCTAGTTTTGGTCAGTTATTCTGACAATCCATAAAAATATAGTTTAAGAAATGTTTGCCATTTCTGCTGTTTCATTGACAGCTGATTCTAGATAAAACAAGTCTTCCAAATAAAAGCTGCTAAACAAAATACTCCAGAGTATTTAGACTCCTGGGGCTGACTGTGTTGCTTATCTTTATCTTTCTTACTTGCTTGTAGATACTTTGGGTAGTAACGTTAGCATATATTTAAACTATATTATTTCACAGTGCATTTTATGGCTTTCCTAAAAAATAATCTACACAAAATACACCAAGTGTTACTATTTTCACTCTGCATATGTGATGAAAACTGTGTCTAACTCTCATTTTCAGTTTCCACTGAAGCCATGTGGTGGGCTAAAAATAAATTTAAAAGTTGGGAAAACCATCTGGCTAAAATTAAATTGTGGGTACTGTAACTACCACAAATTCTTCTTGTTGAAAATTACATTAGAGAGGCTTAAAAATGCCTAAACATTTTACCCAATAACATCTTGAACCTAAACACAGTGTTGAACGCAATAGAATGCATTGCTTGAGCTGGCTGAACTGTCTTTTGATGCCTTCTTTTCTACTTACTGGAAATTATAATTCCTCCTGATTTTTCAGTGGCTACCTGATGAGCTGAGACATTTTTGTCTGACTTAGCATTGATCTTCTTACTACAATCAGCATGTGTTTATGTTAATTTGACCTTCAGAGACCACGGTTTCATTGGTTTTAGTAGTTCCTATTTATCCTGCTAAAAGCATTCATCTGCTTGCTGGGCAGAAAGAGTACACCTTGCCTTTTGTTTCATCTCAGAATTAGAAAGTCTCAGTTTTTTAATCTAGGCTAAATAAGTCAGTTCTCTTTTTCATTGACATAGGTTCATGAACAAAATTTCTGCAATGCTAAGCCACTCCTTGAAAGAAGGTTGGGTGTTTGGGAGGGTGAAGTTTTTCAGCCTCCTGAAAGTGAGCACGCTAACACCATGGCATCACTTGATGTCATCAGGGACAGTGGAGTTTGTGCTCTTCAGGTTGCGACCTTCACATTCCCAGCTCGGTGAATGGAAAGAGTGAAAGCCAGTGCACAAGGCAATATTATGAGATGGAGTCCACCTATGAGAGACTGGTTTACATTTTCTAAAGAGCAGTGGTCCTCAAACCTGAATCACTGGTGGAACTTTAAAAATGCTGATGTCTGGGCCTTTAAAGAGAAGCTGAATTACAGTATCTAGGAATGGAGTCCAAGAATCTGCATTTTAAGCCAGCACTTTATGGTTTGGCTGTAGCCACAGAATCTAGCATTGGGAATTACTCTATAAGCAAGATATTTTGGATCTGTAAACTTTACTTGTTGCTAGTAGATTATTTTTTGTTATTTCATGTTTAACTGAAAAATATGGGTCAGCGTATGCTAACACTTTCACTTTTTACATGTACAATAAAAATATGTTTAAAAAAATAAAACTGTCTCCATCAAATTTTCTAGAAAGTGTTAGAGTACCATAAAGAAAGCAGTGCGTGGTGTTATACTAGCTTTTACAGTCCTTTCATCTACCTCAGCTGAACTCTTCTACAGCCAGATGAGAGCGCACACACATCTACATGCGTACACACGTGCATGCACACACATGCGCACACTCATGTTTTTAGGTAACGTGCAGCTGTGTTGAGTTTCACCTCCACTTTATCAAAAGTGGTATTTTTGTTGATGAATTGGTTTTCTGTCTTCCTCTATTACAGAATAACCCTTTCTGGATTGTTCCTAGTGAAATAGGGCATTGATAAGAAAAGAGCTAAAGAACAACCAACATCGTTTTTCTTGTAAAACTCCTTATACTTGGCTGATGGTCCGCCTCTGTGTTGCACGTCTTTAGACAATAACTCTAGTGGCCACCTTAAACATGTGTATCTTTCAGGCATTGTATCCTTATCCATCTCCCCAGTATCATGAAAATATAGCCATGAACATTCCCAGGGAATGTGTGCAAATGTGAGTTTCCGAGCTGTTCAGGGTTTGGGGAGCTTCAGATTGTGCAGCTAAGTAGGGTTTCCTTCCACCTGCCTTGATAATAATAGCTGTGGACATCGAGTCAGAGGTCACATGTTGCATGAAGCATATTTAAAACAAATTTTGGTTGCTGTTCCTATTAGAAGAAACTTGGGTTGCTAGATCATTGTTTTTACTTTCCTGAAGTTTTCGTTTTAAAAGCCCTTATAGTGAATGTATTTGTAGTTTTGGAGTGTGGAAAGCCTCTCTAAGTAGAATACAAAACCCAGAAGCCATAAAGAAAAAGATCAATAAATTTGACAACCAAAAAATAAAACCAATCCCACAAAAGCTTTGTATTTGGAAAGAATTCCAGAAACAAAGTCAAAAACAGCAAACTAGGAAAAACATTTGGCAATATGGGTGATAAATAGAGGGCTAATTCCTCAATGTGCAGGATCCCTTGTGAAGAATAAACAAACTGCCCCCAAAACAAATGGCCAAAAGCTATAAGCAAAAATTATCTATCTCTAGCTCTGTATAGATCTATATATCTATGGATCTATATATCTATTTTATCCTGGCACACAGAGCCAGGATAAATAAATAAATGAATACATATATATATATAGAGAGAGAGAGAGACAGAGAGAGAGAGACATATATATAGACCTATAGATATAGATCTATATATAGATCTATGGACACAGGTATATCTACAGACATAGATTATATATAGATCTATATATAGGTATGAAAGAAGAAACTCAATCTCTCTCTTAAAAGAGCTGGAAATCTATACTCCTAGATAATCCAGCTGTGAGGAAAAGATGCTATGGTGTTGAGAGTATAAATTGGTACAGCCTCTTAGGAGAGCAATTTAGCTGTATCCACCCAAGTTGAAAATACATGTCTTTGTCCTGACAATTTTACTGCTAGGAATTTACCCAGTAGACAGACTTACAAAAGCACTGCAGGACACACACACACGTACACACACACCACAATCACACAGGGCTGTATGTATCACTGTTTTTAGTAATCAAAATCTGGAAACCTGTTAAATGTCTATGAGTTGGTGCTAGTTAAATGCATTAGGTGATATCCATGTGATAGAATACCGTGCAGCAATTAAAAAGAAGGCGGTAAGTGCTGCCTCGGGGAGACATTGCTAAAGTATATTATGAAGTGCAAAGCGAGTTGCAGAACATTGTGTATAGAATGACCCCAGTTATGTGCATGGAAAGGAGGTGGGTATATGCCAAATAAAGCATAAAAATGATTCTCAAGAGATAACACAAGAAGCTGTTAACATTGGGTTAACTTTATTTTTTATTTTCTAACTTCTGGTAGTACTTATATATTTCTTTCCATAGCGTATGCTGGTATTAATTAAATAAATACACACACAATTAAATACCATAAAGTCACTACAATATACAAGAGGTGAATCATAATGGTCCATGCTAAAAACATTTCGATATTCTAAACTATTAGATTTTTAAGAGCCCTTTTATATATGACCTGAATTCTTCTTGCCCATTATTGCTCATTTTGGCCCTTGTGGACATAGTAAACAAAACTGCTCATCAAGTAGCTCCCGTTGCTTTGTCACCTCTAAGTGTAATCCTCCCTTTCTGCTCTCTCTCGTTTAGGGAGAATATGAGAAGCATCTAGGTCAGAGAGCCTGTCACATTGATTTTTGGGGCTGGGTACTCTGACAAAAAGAAAAATGGTGTTATCTCAATCACTCTGTGGGTTCGGGTTATCAGAGATTAATAATAACACCACTAACGATTTTTTAAACCAATTTTTCTCTGCTGTGAGACACCAAAAAAGGGTTGCAAAATGTCTTCAATTCTGTTTCTTGCCATTGCTCTATGAGCCTAACGTAGAGAGAAGAAGCCAGCGGAGGCTCTTGGGCAGAGGAATGACAAGATCACTCTGGCTGCTCCTCAAGAACAGATCGCAGGGGTGGCAAGGGGCCAAGTTAGGAGTTTGTCACAGCAGTCCTGGCAGGAGATGAAGATGGTACCAGCTGCCTGCACTGCAGGGATGTGGAGGCTCTGAAGGGGTGTTGTGGAGAGCAAGCCCCCAGGGCTTGCTGATGCTTTGGATGTGGTGCTCGTTGAGGGAGGATGCGAGGAGGTCCCTGTTGGGGTGAGATAAACAGTGATGCTGTTTACTGGAATAGAAAGTTTGGGGAGGGGAAAATGAAGAGTTTTCCTTTTGTGTCCGTGAGGACATGTCAACTAGGCAGTTAGGTATGTGTGTTGGGTAGCCTGGAGAATCCAAGTGTGCCAGCCATCATCAGGTACACGACATGGAAAGCTGTGGACTCGAGGTTGCCACAGGGAAGGTAGAGCCCTGGGCACACTCTCAGTTTTAGAGGAAGAGCTGGCCAAGAAGGCAAGAGTTTCAAGGAGGAGGGAGAAGTTAGGTGCACTGAAGACTGCTGAGGTGATAACGAAGATTATATGCGGGAAGTGACCCCTGGACCTACCACCTAGAGATATTGCTAGCATCGTGGAGACACTCTCAGAGTAGGGGCGAGGATAGAGCTTCATG